TCTTTTTTTTTTTTTTCTCTTCTCCCCCCCCCCCCCCCCCCCCCCGTATCTAGGAGTAGCCATCCGATTTTTGGTTATTTATTACAGTTTAATTTATTTGTTTATTCCAGGGTTTTCTTTCTTGGTACCTCAATCTCTGGTAATGTTTTCACAGGTTCCTGTTTTGTTTAGAAGTCTGAAGTATTTCTTAGCCATTTCTTTCAAATGTTGTACCTCCTGTGTAATAGCCATATAATTAGTTCATTGTTTAAGGATGTGCTTAATAGTGTAAGTCAGCTTTTATGGTACAAAACAGATTTGTGTTGATAAACTCTTACAATTATGTTATGCTGACTTCAGGAACCATTGTGGGAGAAGTACATGAATAATGTAGATAAGGTAGATTAACCCTGGCATCTGTGGGAGGTGGGCAGACAGAAAGGGAGGTGATCAGATGAGTAATACTCTGCTTTCCATGTCACTGTAAATTAGCATCAGGTAGCTTTTTCATGTCTTTGCCCACATGTCTTTGGTATACCCAAAGATCAAATAACTTTTGTTCATTTCCCTGTTCATAGCAAATTTTCTTACAGAATGTGAGACAGTTCATGTATAAAAATGAATTAAAAATAAACAAATCTAGTATTTTAGTCTGGCAGACTAAAGATTTACCATCTACCAGATGGTAAATGTGAGGTAACTCCTCTTTGAGCAGGTCACTGAGGCACATAAAGCATAGCGTAAACAGTGTCCTCTCTTCACAGCCTGAGGAAAAATAATAATAGCCATTAAAATAGAGAATGAAGTGAAAAACCTTGTCATTGCATTCAGCTTGTTCTTTCTAGTAATGTTGTCTGTGGGCTGGAAAAGGTTGTAGACCATTAGATTACATCCTGCTGTTTGAGTGCATCATGTGGAATTTCCCCGTGGAAGTGGAAGGTGTTGGTTTCCAAAGTAGACAGCTTTAAGAAAGGAGATATCTGTGGCTGAAACAAGAGATTCGTAATAGAAGCCGCTAGAGTACGTCCTTACAGCGATCCACCACCATCTTTGGAATAGAATGTAATTCATGTTTTTGTTTCACATCTTTCCCTCTTCTCCAATAGGTGGGAGTAAGTTGCTTGACTGAAATGAGGTTGTGCATGTGTGTGTTTATATACACATATACACAATTTACACCTTTTTGAACTTTTGTTTTGAATTTGGTGAAAGCTGTGGTCCCTATTCTTCTTTCAGAAAACTATTTCATAATCCAACTCTTAGTCCTGTGAGAAGCCTCTAATATACCCAGAAGTCCCCTTATATAGCCCACAGTTTACCTGATCTCACAGCATTCCATGCTAATAATTAAAGTGTGTCTGTGATGGCTGAAGCTAATCATGAGGACTTTTAATATCAAGGTATACTTGTAGGTTTTGTTTCCACAGAGGAGCCAGCAAAGGTCTTGCTTTCATGTGGGTGGGTGTTGACTATCAAATTTTCTTTCATGTGCCAGTATGAACAGTTCAGGCAGATGACTGAAATATGGTTTGATACAGTAAAGATGTTCAGCTGGATAGTGTATGATATGAACACTTCAGTTTCTTTTCCTCCAATGCTCTCCATCAATCTACTATGAAGGCTGAAAATGATGAAGAACAGTTTTTAAAAGTTTTTAGAGTTGGGCAAACATTTCTTCTTACTGCTACTGTGTCTGAAAAAACACCTGAGATATTTAAGTCCTGCTGAGGCTGACTAGTACAATACTGGAATGATATAATCCATTGATCCTTCTTAGGGTTGGTTGTTTATTAAGGAGTGTGAAAATTAATGACTTGTATCCTCCCCCTTGTGCGGAAGGTGTGGGAGAAGGAGGAATGCTTCATGGCCCATGAACTGGGTTTCATACCACATGTTATTAAAGGTCATTCTGTTGATGAAAGGCATTTACTGTCTGATTATTGTTTCCATCTTGTGATACAGGTGTTTAGGTACCTGTATTTGATTTACGTGGCAAGATTTTGGTACTGGGAGGGGGCTGAAGGGGCAGCTTTCTGTGAGAAGACACCAGAAGCTGCCCCCATGACAGACAGAGCCAGTTCCAGCCGGCTCCAAGACGGACCCGCCGCTGGCCAAAGCTGAGCCCATCAGCGATGCTGGTCACACCTCCGTGATCATGTATTTAAGAAAAAGTAAAAAATGCTGCACGGCAACTGTGTGAGAAAGGAGTGAGAAAAATGTGAGAGAGAAAGCCCTGCGGATACCAGAGTCAGTGAAGAAGGAGGGGAGGGAGGTGCTCCAGGTGCCGTAGCAGAGATTCCCTTGCAGCCTGTGGTGAAGACCATGGTGATGCAGGTTGTCTGCCTGCAGCTCACGGAGGTCCACGGTGGCGCAGGTATCCACCGTGCAACTCGTGGAGGACCCCCTGCTGGAGCAGGAGGATATGCTCTGAAGGAAGCTGCAGCCCATGGAGGGCCCGTGTCAGAGTAGGCTCCTTGCAGGAACTGCAGCCCCTGGAGAGGAGCCCGTGCAGGAGCAGGTTTTCTGGCAGAACCTGTAGCCTGTGGGGGACGCACGCTGGAGCAGTCCATTCCTGGTGGACTGTACCCTGTGGAAAGGACCCACACTGGAGCAGTTCCTGGAGAACTGCAGCCCGTGGGAAGGACCCATCTTTGAGAAGTTCATGGAGGACTGTATCCCATGGGAGGGATCCATGCTGGAGCAGGGGAAGAGTGTAAGGAAGGAGTGGCAGAGATGAAGTGTTTATGGACTGACCACAACTCCCATTCCCTGTCCCCCTGCGCCGCTGGGGGAGGCAGGCGGGAGGAGGATGTAGGAGAGTCATGAGTGAAGTTGAGGCTTGGGAGGAGGGGGGCGGGGGGAAGGTGGGTTTAGTTTTGTTTTTATTTCTCGCTATCCTACTCTGTTATTAATTGGCAATAAATTAATTTCCCCAAGTTGAGTCTGTGTTGCCTGTGGCAGTAAGTGGTGGTCCTTACCTTGACCCATGAGCTTCTTCATTGTATTTTCTCCTCCTGTCCTGCTGAGGAGGGGGAGTGATAGAGCGGCTGGGTGGGCATTTGGTGGGCAGCCAAGGTCAACCCACCACAGTCCCAAATCTGTTCATTCCTACATAGAGAGCTGCAGGAAGAATCCAGTCATTTTGCGGTATGTTTTTAGGGAGTCCCCTGTACTTCCACACCAGGTTCATCTTCAGTGTGTAAACAGAGCCTCCTCAGGAACCATTTTTTTCTGGCAATCTTAACCCCTAATAGATGTCCTAAAGAGGGAGAAATAGAAGATAAAGGAGAAATTTAAATGTTTTATTTTGCCACCTAAAGGCAGATGCAATAACGAGGCGGATTGCTGTATTAACCTTCTCTATTCTTCCAGGCTTGTGATACTGTTTTGGGCATGTTTCTGGCAGAGAAATTTCCTTTGTCTCCTTGGAATTGGAGCATGCCACAGAGCTAATCATGAGAA